ATATTATGTATATATATAATGTGTATATATAATGTATGTATGTATAAAATGTATATATATTCTATATACATGTATAAACAAATAGATAGATAATAACAGTGCTCAAATAAAAACATGTTGTAATAATTATCGTATCAAGCATAGCTCATCAACGTTCCTTTTACATCAGTTGGATGAAACAAATGTCTCCGACGGGAGTCGAACCTGCAACCTCTCGCTGTGAAGGCGAGTATTACATCCTTTAGAACACAGAGACCTATAGGATATCGTGCAGTTCTAATCCCCGCACTTTCTCTCATACAACTAACTGAAACGCTATATCGGTATATAATCAAATTGATGAATAACAATAAGAGTTCGAACTCTGCCATAAAAGGAACTTTTCATTGAAGGGCTGCCTGATACGATTATATAACCTTGTTCATATATTATATATATATAAAGAATATGATATAAAAGAAATAACATTCTTCAAAAAGTGACTACTTTGAAGAATAGATTTTACTAAAAAAAAAAAAAAAAACCACACACACACACAAGTAACTCTCTTCTGCGGAAAAGGGTATGATTGTCTCGCGGTGTACTACGCAATTCACTACCAAAAGGACTCCACTAGAAATAATCAAAATTATTGTGTTACCCTTGGGATTCACATCGAACTCTTATCCTATCCTACCCTAGATAAAAACTGAAAAAAATTCAAATGTTACTGTAAAAACCTATTCAAATTTACTTAAGGCGATTATCTTAATCTACATTCATTAGATTGATTACCCAATTAATTGCGGGGTATAGAGCTGTAGGCCTAGCGGTGAAATTACGCAAGTCGCAGAGTGACTCCGAGAGTGAAACGGGAAGCGGGTATGACCGTCAATACTATGTTTCCGTGTGCTACAGAAACATAGAAGTATGGCTAATCGTTTGTTGTTTACTATATAAAAAAAATGAAAACAAGGACAACTGACGTTCACGTTCGTTGATCAATTGGAAAACGAAACAAACGTGACAAAAAAATGAGAAAATTTGAAAACAGGGGCAAATAGAGGAACCTTAGATTGACTTGTCAAAATTAGCTGATAACACCGTAGGCCACTTCTAGACATCAACATCTCCATCATCATCATTGCAAAACGTACAGTTGGCGTCGACATCATTCCATGTTTTCCATTCCTGTTTCAAAGTCACAAGCTATGATCACATTTTATCATAATTTTGAAATTATTTAATATGTATTTGGGCGATGTTTTAATATTTGGCTTTGCCATTAAGAAATATTTAATTTTTTTTTTTTTGTAGTTGCATTAGCTGGTACGGGAAAGACTTTATAAGAATGTAAATGGAAAATGTATGACGAACACACTTAAAGTTAAACAGATGTTCGATTATTAATTATTCGAATGCATGTGAGAGGACAATGATTGATTGTATAAATTCTGCATTTTCATTTCAGTGAAAGGGGGCTAGAGTATGGGCGGTAACGGGCCTCGGTGGCAACATTCATGGGATAGCAAAAACCGTATGTTACAAGGCGGGTGAAAAAGGTCGGGGTAAAAAAAATGCCGGGGGAAACGGGCCTGTTGGTAAATGGAAACGCGATCTATCTTTGTACAGAAATATAATGTTGCTGTCGTTAGCAATATTTGCAAATTTCTTTTCAATCGTTTTAAATGCTTTCTTAAATAATACATATTTAAACTATACTCTATAGTATGCATATAGGCCTAACCCACTAGTTATTCAGGCTATGGACAATTATTGTTGTATTTTGAGTATATTCTGACAATAAATTATTATCTCACTGAACTGTTTCTATCCGATACGATATTTAACTGCTGGTGATCTGATATTGACAGCCATTAAGTACGCTGACTTATGAGTGCTTTGACAATCAGCCACATGACGGCTCATCACCGAGCTGGTTTACTTGAATGATTAATGCCGTGACATCTACATGTCCGATTGTTGTACCCACTAAGACGAATTTTTCCTGCCAGCGAATTTGAGAGAACGATACGCGTTATACGTTATTCAATGTCCAAGTCCAACCAATATGCTGTGACGATTATTATGTAAGGTTCATCTATTTTTATATACGCAGTTAAGACTCAAGAGTAACTTTGACTTAATGTTTGCAAACATGCAGGAAAATGATGTTGTTAGATTGTAGACAAAGTTCTTTAAGATACACTTGGGCCAAATGGATTTTGAATTCTGAAGAGCCCATTGGAATTAAACATTTGATACGATTGAGAAATTCTGGTTGATGTATCTTTGATAGTCAGTGTTGAAATAGGTCTGCATTAATGAGTTTAGCGTTTGATACTTGCATATTTAAAAGGAGGTCAAAATTGTTCAATGATGTAGAAATACTTCAAGTAGAAGAGATGAAGATGTTAACGTGGAGCAGCTAATGGGTAATCCAAACTCGAAAAATACGATGGTGCAACGGTGACTCCAGCTTCTACATCGCCTCAAGTAGTGCATGGCCTGAAATTGGCTAATAAACGAGATACAATTAGTGATGTCAAGATTTCATTGCAATGGACACATAAATGAGAAAGAAAGAAGTATTACCAATGATATGTAGCAATTGGTCAATATTGATAGAGAAGATAGAATCTAATGATTACGATGTTGTAATGATAGTCCTAATCTGTAATATATATCTTATTAAAAATTAAGAATTACTTCCCTGTAAACCTTTAATTCCTTGTAAATAATTTAGTAGACCTTTTCATCTGGCTTAACATGTATTAAAAATAAACACTATCTGCAAAAACCTTAAATTAATCAATGGTTCATTTAAACGGATCAAGTAAGTTAAAAACTTCAAAGGAAGCACAGATCAAAACAATAAGTAAGCCTTCTACTATTTGTAAGTGCCCCTTAAAATGACCTCGACCTAGATTTGTTTATGTATTCAGTTTGAGTCTTTCAATAGATTCTATATAAATCTTGATTTATTTGTTTATTTTATTTATTTTTATATTTATTTTTTTCAGTTTCAGAATTTAGGGTTTCTGTTTCTATGTGTCTGTTATAAACTGAAATAAATAAAAAAAAATGATTTTATATAAAATGAGGACAGATATTTTTTTGTTGTGATTAATTGAAGGCTAATAATAAACTCAAATAAACAAAGTAAGAAATTCAACTGAATTATAGTTCGTTACCAGGACTTAATATTTACAGGGATGATTGATACAATCTGATCTTCAATAAGGTGAATAGTTGCTGTACATACAGTGTAATCGTTGATGAATACGAATTAGAATATGCAGAACATTCAATATAGACCTATCATTTGATTTGCTTTAAATGTGTTACTTTTCTTTCTTAATCAATATTGTTAAATATGCGATAGATGCTGTACCGTACATATCAGCAATGACTTTAGCTTCGTCCAATCTATCATTGTCTAATCGAAAAATATGTCCCACATCATAAAATATTAAACCACATGCAATTTGAAATTGTAATTTGAAAAATCAATAGTCCTTAATAAAACTTTCAAAAAAAAAAAAAAAAAATTAGAAACAAAAATAAGTCCAGACCGAAATGTAGAGATATTTTTCTTATGTCTTCAAGGTTTGAATCAACATTCAGTGTTACATAAGAAGGGCAAAGAAAATTAGATTCTGGCAAATCAAACCAGTGGTCTTCTTTGGTGTAACATTTCGACACTACCAACTGATACTCATGTTTGACGTTCTGTTGTCCCTTGTTATGTAATTCAGTTATTAAGCCTTACCTGTAAAGTGAAGTTTGATGAAAGTTCTACCCAGCTCTATAAGATCAGCAAAAGCACTTCGGAGGTAGGGTTACGGCTCTCTTATGGTAACACGTCTGAAGTTACTTCGCTTATGATATGGTAAAATTAGTTATTTAACGAATGGATGTTGCCTTGTTATAAATTTTTGCTGCTGATTTTATTATGTAGACTGAGAATACATTTTGGCAATCCTTAAATGCACGTAACCCAAAACGCAACCTTAATTGCACACCGTATCTTATAATATGGTTCATAACAATCTTCCATTTTCAGCAGGTTGTGGTGCAATCAATAGTTTATTTTATGACGCGTTCTCTCACAGATGACGCGTTGGATCACGAGCAAGCGTTGAGAGCTATAACTAAACTTCCACTCTTTAGATTTAGATTGCACAATCAGTTTTCTGCCTTTGTGGGTCATTTCAATTAACTCAATCAAGTGAAAACAAATTCATGGGCCTAATGATA